TCACCCAGACGCGCAAGAAGGACTTGAAGCGGGTGGGCGAGCTCGTCACCCCGAGGCTGCGCGCGAGCGGGCGCAGGGGCCAGCGCCTCTCCGACGGGGGGGCGTCCGACGCTCGGCAAGGACAAGGCCGAGCTGACCCAGGCCACGTCCGACAGGTTGTGTATTAGTAGAAGTAGTAGTTATTCGTTGTAGTAGTAGTTGTTGTAGAGACAGAAATTGTGAGAACGACGGTTTCTTACGATTGCTCTTGCAACTGCGATTAATACGACTACTAACTATTCCTAGTACTACAGCTAGTCTGACCACTACTATCACTAGTATTACTTGTACGACCAGTAACTCCAAGTAGTTATTTCCAATCGTTGAAAGTTTTACTACTAGTAGCTACTAGCAATCGTGATCATATTACTAGCTACTACTTGTTGTCATTCCTACTACTACTACTACTACTACTACTACTACTACTACTACTAATTCTACTACTACTAACAGTAACTACTACTACGAGCCGATCTAAGGCAGCTACTATTACTACTACTACTACTACTTCTACTACTACTACTACTACTACTACTACTACTACTACTCCTACTACTGGTACCACTACCACTACAACTAATACTACCAGAGCCACTACAACAACAACTACTACTACGACTACTACTACTGCAACTACTGCGACTACTAGTATTTCTACTACTACTACTACTACTACTACTACTACTACTACTACTACCACTACTACTACTACTACTACTACTATTACTACTTCTGGTTCACTTCCAGTAGGTCCGTGCAGCTGGTGGCGAGGGGCGGCTCCGAGGACCTCAGCCTCTTCGCCGGGGGCCCCGAGACCTTCGCCCAGCAGAGGGCCAGCGCGAGCGCGGTCGTCGTCGATGCCGCCGCGCGCTGGCTCATGCTCTGGGGCGAGAAGGAAGCGCGCATCCACGAGAGCGAGATCTACGCTGCAAGCGCCGAGAGACGCATCCATGACCACCGCCGCAAGCGCCGCGAGACGCAGGCCGGGCCCAGGCAGCTTTCGAGGCCGAGAAGGCCGAGCATTTGGCAGCGCACCCCGACATGAGGGAGCAAGTGGGCCAGGCCTACTCGAGCGAAGGGGTCACGTGCAGGATCGCCCTCATCGTCTCCGTAGCCGAGAACTGGTTCGACGGGCGCAAGCCCGCCATCAAGCGCAGCGTGCTCCTCGTCCCCCGCGCGGGGCACTGCGGAGTGAGCGTGGACCTCGAGGAGGGCGCCTGGCGGCGCGACGTCACCTACGAGCGGCGCGACGGCGAGACGGAGCGCTTCCGAGCAGGCGAGCCTTCTGGAGCATTGCTCATGGGCCGGCGCAATGCTCTGCTCGAGTTCTCCGAGGGGGAACGCTCGAGGGTCTTCGTGGCCATCGACGTGTGGGGGCAGTCCAGGGCCTGGACGGACGAGCTCGTCGCTTCCTGGGCCATCAACGTCATCGATCAGCAGCGCGGCCAGAGCCTCGCGTTTGCAGACTGCCTCTCGGGCCAGTTGACCGAGGCAGCGACGCTCCAGTCATGGCCCCAGCACGCGGCCCAGGCGCCCGTGGCCCCCGACGTCGCGAGCTTCTTGCAGAAGCTGGACGCCCACGAGCACTGCCAGCTCAAGGCTATGATCCGAGAGGTCAAGGCCGAGCTGGTCCATGGGGCAGGGCTGGGTCCAGAAGGCCAGGGCCGAGCCCCAAAAGCAGTGCAAGTCCCCGACCCAATGGGGGCCCTACGAGCGCCTCAACGGCGCTTCCGAGGCCTGCGCCTGCTTTCGCGAAAAGAACAAGGGCGCGGTGCCGTTCCAAGGGCTGCAAGCGAACCAAATGCTCGCGGTCCGGCCGACAGGGCAGGGCGAGCTCAAGATCGTCGCGGGCACGATGCTGTGGAGCTACTCCATCGAGCCCGGCCGCGGCATCGATCGGGGCCTGGCGAGCGAGCGCCTGGAGGGCGCGCAGAGGTGGCCCGAGGGCGCGCCGCCCGTGCCCGAGTGGAGCGTCGTCGACGGGAACTGCTTCCACCAGGGCGAGTTGCCCAGGGATTGCGAGCAGGACGAGAACCCCTGCCTCCTGGAGCTTCGAGAACTGGACCTCGCCAGAAGAGCGGATCAAGGAGATCCAGTTCCCGCGCGCCTCGAGGTCCAAATCGAGCGGGCGCGAGCAGCAGCTCGCAGGAGCAGGTGGACGCCCAAGTTCTCAGGCCAGTTCTTGGGCAAGCTGCAGCGCAAGTGGCGGCGCGCGAAGGCCGAGACTGGCGGCGGGGCCTCGCTCGAGCACCTGGGCCGAGGCGCGGCCGGGGCGAAGCTCACGGGCAGGCCGCCGAAGGCCAAGGCGAGCTTCTCCAATAAGTTCAAGGCCAAGACGCCAGCGGAGAAGGACGCCGAGAAACAAGCGAAGATCAAGAAGAACACGGGCCCCGAGGCTCGCGGGGCCCCTCCCCCCTGGCACGGCAAGATGGCCCGCGTCGTCGAGGACGGGGTCCACGAGGGCAGGCGCGGCAGAGCGCGGGACGTCTGGCGAGTCCCGGGCACCGAGGACGCGCGCCGCGTGCGCGTCCACGAGGTGGAGACCGCGGCGATCTTCCAGATCGACAGCAGCGAGGCGAGGAGGCTCACGGGCACTCGCTAGCTTCCGCCTGCCTCCGCCCGAGGCGGCGGACGCAAGCGGGGGCTAGTGGGAACGGCAGAAGCGACGGCGGAAGTGGCGGAAGTTGGCGGAAAGCTGGCGGCGGAAGCGGCGGCGGAACTTTGGAGCCACGAAGCGGAAGCAGGCGGAAGCTAAAGAGTGCTTGCGAATCCCGAGCGCCACAGGTCGCGATCGAGCAGGACTGCAATCTCCCTGGGCGGCTCGAGCTCCACTGTTGCCGGACCAGTCTGGCTCGCCGCGCCGAGCTCGCCAAGGAGTGCGCGATCATGAGCTGCGAGCAGATCGCCCATGGCGACGCCCGCGAGCTGGGCGCAGTGCACGCGCTGCTGGTCGAGATCGAGGAGCGCGCGGGCATCCACAAGACCGTTCTGGCGGTCGAGCCCACGGCGGCCGTCGCCCGGGCTCGAGAAGGCCGGGGCGAGGGCGGGCCCGTCGCCCGGCAGCCCGAGGGGCAGGATCGCTGGGCCGAGAGGGTCCACGAGGCCGAGCACGTCCTGATCTGCGCGCACTCCGGGGCCCCCGCGCACTGCACCTACCTCGAGGCCTGTGGTTGCTACAGTTGCCCCCGCCCCAAGGTGCCCACAGTTGCCCCCTCTGTTTTGGAGCGAATCCTGGAGGGGCCTTGGGCAGGGGGCACTTGTAGCAACGCCCGCCCAAGTCTCAAGGATCGGCGAGAGCGCTGGGCGCCGCGACGCCCTCGAGCAGCCGTCCAAGAACGCTGAGCAGGCCTACTTGGCCACGTGCGAACTCACGCCTACACCCCGCGATTTCTGAGGGGGAGGTAGGGCCCGCTATGCTTGGGAGCAGCCGAACGAAGTGAACCCCGCCGCCCTCCGCAGAATTCGCGGGTAGGGTTCGCATGTGGCCCCCCAAGGCCTCCGCGAGGATCCCCCGTAAGCCCGGCGCCATTGGCCCTGGCGAGACCTGCCCTCCGAGGAGCAACGACATGTTCCAGGCCGACGCACGGTCCTGCGGCCTCTGGGCAAGTCGCTGGATCGAGCGCGCTTTGCGCGAGATCCCAGGCGAGGGCCGCCGAGCGCCCGCGAGCATCGGCGCGATGTTCGCCCGAGGCAGAAAGTGGATCAACAAGCTCAGGGAGGCCAGAAGCGACGACTTGGCCATGGCAAAGGCTAAGGCCAAGGCCAGGAGCAAGGTCAAGTCCAAGCCCTTCAAAGACCCTGCGGGGGTCGAGACGAAGTGCGCCACCTTCGAGGAGGCGAGCGCTGCCGCCGTTGCCCGCGCCAAGTGCCCCCCGCGCAAGGACGGCCCCAAAGGGCGCCGAGCCAGAGGTTTTCTTGGCCAGTAGCGCCAAGGACCTCTCTTGCGCAGGCAAGTTGCAGCCGCGAGCCTCGAGATCTCTCGAGTCAGGCTTGCGCCGGGATCTACAATGTCAGTCTACGCGAGCGCCCAGGATCATTATCGTCATCACCGTCGCTGGGAAGATCGTTGGCTATCCCCGCCGGACCCCAGAACTTTATTATCTCCAGGGAATTATTATTGGGAACGCTTGGTTAGGTGGGGCGCGTGCGCGATACCTTTTCGTGTGTTATTTTTTGTTTTGAGGTCGGCACTTGTGGTCTTCCTGAGCGGAAGAGGAAGAGGAGGAGGAGGAGGAGGAGGATGAGGAGGAGGAGCAGGAGCCCCTCTGGGTTGCCGCCCGCGCGTCCGCTGCGCGCGGTGGCTTCTTATTCGATGATGTTTCAGCTGGAACCTAGCTGCCTTGAGCGGCGAGCCATGGCCAGCACTCAACGGAGTTATCTTGGGCCCGAAGGCTGGCGCGAACCCGATGTCACTGCCTGGCGATCCGCCAAGTGTGGCATGCGGACGTCTGCCATATGCTACGGCTGTTCCCCACGCGTCTCTCCGTCGTGCGCCCCCCCCCCCCGGGGGGGCGGCCTTTCGCCCCGCTGGGATTGAAAAGTCCGCCCGGTCGCCAGAGTTCACCACGGTGCCCGTCGTGCGGCGCGGTCTGGCCACCGTGTCATCCAGCCGTGCTCGCAAGGAACATCTGGGGTCGTCAAAACGACGATGCAGTCGCAAGCGCTTGGGGCCTCTGCCACGGAACCTCGTCGATCTTCGACGTTCGAGCAGCTACGCTGCCCTGGGGAAGTAATGCAACTTTGGGCGTCGATGTTTTTCTTTTCGTCGCCGTCGGTTTCCCGGTTTTATACTCGACCCTAGAAGCCGCTTTCGGGCCCCAGCACCGTCGGGGACGGACCTGGCGTGAATAAGTATTCCCCTGGAAGTCCCCAAAACGATTATTCGTCTCGAGTTGGAAAAGTTGCATTTTTCCCGGGGATGTAAGTCTAGGTTATTCATTTTCTTTTCTCCGCGACACGAGGCGCAGTTGGCGGCGGTGGACGCCGACGCGTGCTACGGCCTCGGACTGACGCCGCTGCAGTTTTTCGCAGGCGCGGCCCGCGTTGCGGGCCTCGCTGGGCACACTCGGGCGTCTGATCTCGGCATATGTCGGAGCTGGTTGGGCAGGTCGGCCTCCGAGGAGGATAGATCATCAATACTCCTGGACGGATCTTTCCCTGTTCGCTACCTCCCTGTTGTTTTCGTTGTGTCGGTTCATCCTGTCTTACGGGCTGCGCCAACTACGTGTGGCAGCGAAGGAACATACCGCCCAAAGGGGGCACGAACAAAAACCAAATTGGCGGGACTCGAGGGTTTGGGATGTTCATGTTGAGTGGTACGCGTGCGTGGAACGAGCACTCATATAAGATGATCGCAGCCTTCCTGATCGAATTCGAATGCCCGAAACATAAGTATGTGTGATCCCCCCGTTGCCGACTGCGTTTTCAACTGTAGTGCCCCGCCGTCGGGCTGGTTCCGTGTTTGATGCGAGGGAAAGTCTGTTCTTTCAGACTACGTTGTCGGCGCCAAGATTACAGCAACAGCGGCTCCCACCTGATACGCCCTCACGAAGTAGGCACGCACCGGGCGGTCGCTAGAGATCTCCTCTTTCAGTATATTCAGGAATCTCGCTCTGGCCTGAGACTTCCGTACAATGTATTAGCGACTCGCTCTCTCGGCGCTTTGGAATCGCGCCCTCGTGTGCGACATCCTCATATTTTGTCTCAGGAAGCGCGCTCTCGCCTGAGACTTCCGTGCCATTCACTCTTGCTAACCCCTTTTGCTAATCCATATCGTCCTCCATCGTGCGCCTCCCTTCCTCATGCGTCCTCCACTTCTCCATGCTGTCCTCCATTCCCTTCTTCGATCTGCGTCATGGGTGACACGCGTGCATATGAGAACGAACAGTTCTAACATGATGTCTGTTGTTGTTGAAGTCTCATTTCTAAAGATTGTCAGACAACGTGGACCCCCAGCACAGATGTCTTGCTTTGTACGAACTGCAATCTAGGAGGTGCAACCCATGTGGTGCAATCTATGTGGTGCAAAGCGGCAGAGAGCTATGCAAAGCAATGCAACGCAGTGCAAAGCAATGCACATGGATGCATAGCACTTGAAAGCAACTCAAAGTTATTCAACACAAGGCAATCCAGTGAAAAACGAAGCATGCAAAGCATTGCGATGGAACGCAATGCAAAGCTTTGCAAAGCCATGCAACGCAAGGCAAAACAACGCAGTGCAGTGCAAAGCATGGCGGCGACCACAAGCCAGCCGAACCGACAACCAGGGCCCCGTTCCTTAGAAGAGAAGGACGAACCCGCAAGTGCAAAGTGCAAGCGTCGAACAGTCAAAGTCCTGACCAGGCACGGTGGCGACGGGCAGCGATGGGCGGTCACAAGCCAGCTGGACCGACAGCCAGACCGAGTTCCTCTGAAGAGGAATGAGACGCCACTAAGTGCAATCATTATTTGGAGAAGAAGTATTGCTGATCCCCATTTCGCGGCAACATACTTATCACAAGGGGGAGCCTTGTGCCTCAGGCTTCGCTGTCGGCCCCCAGTTTACAACAACAGCTGCTCCCGCCTGATACTTCCTTGCAATTCTTGACGCTTTGTGTATCCCCACCAGCTCCCTGGCGCTTCGCCCTATGACACCGCAGAAGGCAGCACTACCCCAGTGCAGCCCCCCCTCACTCCCCCCGCTGGCGATGCTCACCACGCCAGCTGGTCCTCCTACCCTCACTGAGGCCTGACGCCGTGCCGGCACGCGCTGCGTGGCCCACAGTCGCTTGGGTCCCCCATGCCTTGTGGGGTAGTCTTTCGGGTGTTGGTGTCGCCATGGAGTGGTTCAGCCTTCCGCAGCTGGTACAGCACCCAGGCTCATCCACCAGCTTCCGGCAAGTGCGTTACACCACGTTCCGCGACAGCCCTGCCCCCCCAGGCGTGCAGACGTCACAGTGGGCGTTTGGAGTCTGGCGCCCCACAGGCGACTCACTCCACCGGCCTCCCTCTTGCCCCCACTCAGATTGACGGACTTGGTCATCCTGGTTCACGTCTCACGACGGGCTTGGTTTCTCGGTTCACGTCTCAGACTCTGGCACGCACCGAATTATTTGGCATTTTGTCTGTGCACGCGCAAGAGCTCCAGGATCAGGTCACCTGCAGCGTCTGCTTCTTTTCAGCTTCGCGGCTGCTCCTTGAGCGGGCCGGCCGGCCTGTGCCTGTTGTAGCTAATTAGCCCCGTACCGTGACCCAGACGCCGCTTCCGCTCCCTGACCGTTGCCTTGGAGCCGCTGACCAAAAGAAGGTATCCCCACCAGCGCCGGCCACCCTGGCAGTCCGCCGCCCCCTGCAGCTCGATGCATGCGTGCAAACCCTGGCCCTGGCCCCCACACTCAGTGCAGCTTGCAGCTCACGTGAGGCGACGCTTTGTCAGCTTAGGCAGTTTAGGTGTGCGGCTCTAGTTTGCTCCTGTTGTCGATTAGTAGGCCCGCGCCCCGGACTTACGACTCGCCGTTTGCGCTCTCGCCCACCAGCGTATTTATTTTGGCATCTGGCCCGGGTCGTCGTGTGTCCTGACCCCCTGGAGCCCCGACTTTTTGCATACTTGCGCGCTGGCAGTACGATTCAGTTTCAGCTGCCCCCCCACCCGCCGGTCCGCCGCCGGGCTGCTGCGTGAGGGCACGGTTTGCCGCTGAAGGTGTGGCCACCCTCCGTCGCCTTAGCTTAATTCGTCGTTGCGTGCCCCGCTTTGACTGGACTCGCCGCCGGCGCGCTCGCCCGCGGCCGCTGACTAAAAAATATCCCCGCCAGCCCATCCAGAAGCGATGCCCATGAGAGTTGACGGGGGGGGAGCCTGATACTTCCTTGCAATGTATACGAATGGCCTTCGGGCCATCCCGCCACCGTGCGTGGATTGTGGGTCAGAGTCTTCAGGGATGCTTCTTGGGGTCTCTCCAGAGCGCTCTCGGGGCCTCTTGGAGGCAGTTATGCAGCCTTTTGAAGACAATTTTGGGGCCTCGTGGGGGCCTTTCGAGCCCGAGGGACGGAAAATGTCCGTTCTGGTCCCCCGTTGGGGCCCCCTCGTGGAGCCGTCTTTGGGACCTCTTGGGCCGTCTTGGAGGCTTCTTGGGCCGGTTCGGGGCACACTGGGACATTTTTCGGGCCCTCTTGGAGGCCATGGCGGTCTTCGGGCGAACTTGGGGGCCTCTCAGGCCGTTTGAAACGCTGCGAAGACCAAAGTGGCTGGCTGACTGGCTCGTTGGCGTTCTGACTGGCCAGCGCCGGGGCGAGGACACCGTGGGATCTACGAGGGGAGAAGCGGGGCGGTGTACAGGATCGGACGGGCGTCATCCTTTCCAGATTCGTTCTCGAACAGCACTCACGGTCAGAAGCCGTGTTGCCGCTTCGATATGCCGATCGTTCCTAACGAGCAATCACTTGCAATGCTGTTGGTGGGGATCATGATGGTGACGCTGGCGACGATGGTCATGATGTTGGTGTTGATGCTGAAACTGCTGATGAGCATCATATGATGACAGTGATGAGTGCAACGCGAATCCATGGTGGCTGGTCTAAGTCGGAGGACCGCGAGAGGGCTAAGGGAGGATGTGAGGAAATGATGGTGAAGATGGAGGTCCATGCGACGAGGGCCAGGGCGAGGGCCAGGAACAGGAGGAGAAGCTGGAGAAGGGTGAACAAATGAATTCAGATTGCAGAAACATAAGTTCTCTGAGCTCCGCGCGGATGCCTTGGATTCAGCAGGGGGAAAACACACAGAAACAATGATAACTCGATCCCCTGCAAAATGTAGGAAAATATGGGAAGTGGGGGAAGATGAACACCCAGAACAGATGCAAACATATGGTGAATCCTGGGATTTGTGTCTATGTGTTTGTGTGTCCCTGGGCCCATTCAAAGTTCTCTGAGCTCCTCGAGGGTGTATTGGATCTGTGCTGTGCCTCCCCCCCCCAGCGGCGCCTCCGGCGCCGCCCCAGGCGCGCTCTTCGCGCCAGGGGGAGGGGGTCCAGCGCCGATCCAAGCGAGGTGGCCGGAGCTAAGAGACCTCATGTCTTTGCCGCTTTCTCATTCTCTACAGGACGATCGGCACGAACAAAGAAATGTGTACGAAGATAACGAGTACGATGCCCATAAGTTCGAAGAAGGAAACGCGCCATACACATAAACGTTTGGCGCTCCTCGCAGATTTCTGGGATCCGCGCTGTGGGTCTCCCCAGCGCAGCGCCTCCGGCGCCGCCCCGGGCGCGCTCCGCGCGCCCGGGAGGGGGGTCCAGCGCAGATCCAAGAAACCCGCGCGGAGCGCCAACAGTTTATGTTTATGGCGTTTTTTCTATGAGAACGATCGGCAGGAACGAAATGTCTATGGCGGTTTTTCTTCTCCTATCGGCGGCGAGCCCAGGGGGGAAGTGAGAAGGGACAGGCCTTCTCGGAAGTCTCGGAGGTCCCCAAATTTGAGAAGTTTTCTGAGAAGAAAAATTGAGAAGGGACAGGCCGTCTCGGAAGTCTCGGCCATTTGAGAAGTTTTCTGAGCCTTCCCGAAGATACAGTAAACGTTTCAGAAGGCACGAGTCCTCCTGAGAAGTTCCGCCGCCCGCCTTCTGAGAAGCCCTTCTCCTTCTTAATTCCCCGATCGGCACGAACGAAATGGGTAATCCGATAGCCCTTATAACGGCGACGATGGAACACAGTGCCGGGGAACTGCTTTGAACATCACCAGTCGTTCAAAGCAGTGCCCCGGCACTGCTTTGAACGATGCGGAAATGCGATCAGCAGGAGCCTTCGTCTGTTCCTTCTCCTCTTCTCGTCGCTGTATGCTCTTCCTTGTCCTCCCTCCTCCCCCGTTCCCTCTCTAATTAATTACCTCGTTCTCCCAGTCTCACGCGCACTCTTCCTCCCCCCTCTCCTCCTCCTCTTCCTGCTTCTCCTCCTCGTCCTCCTCCTCCTCCGCCTCCTCCCCCTCATTTGTTATATTTCTCCGTCCTTGTCCTCCTGTCCCCGTTCTCCTTCTCCCTCTCCTCCTCCTCCTCCTCCTC